ACTACGTGCTTTTGTCAGTCAAGTGAGTTTCAGCATTTGGTTGGAAATATGTCTCAGGGAGTTAGAAGTGAATATGGCATAGCCCTGACATGGAACTCTCACAGATTTAGGGAAAACTTTGAACAGAAGCTTGGGATTAAACACTTAATTTAGAAGTAAAAGAATAGAGTAAGTGACCTCATTAAGAAAAAGACTCACTAGAGTCCCAGACACTGAAACATCAGAAAAGGTAGTGACGGTGAAGTTGACTTGAAATAAAATCATGATGAGGTAAACCAAGGTTACAATTATGCTAGTTCACCTGCTGTATAGGAGACTGTCAGTTTAAGATCTTTTTGAGGATTATTTAAGATGAGAAATGTGTTTTCTCATTTGACACATCAGCAAGTTTCTGGGACTCAATTTCTCTTTTTTCAAAAAAAAAAAAGGATGCAGTCAATAAATGAGACCCTAAAGGCCCAAGGCCCATTCTCTTGTAAAGTTCTTTAATCTAATAAATACAAAAGTTGTCCTTTGAGTCCCTCAACTGAAGTGAACTTGTTTTGCACTTTTACAAATGAATACTTGCATTGTAACTTTATGGCCATTTACCACAACTATGTCTACATGGTTCCTGATTGTCACAATTTTCTCTTCATAGTCATGTTGAAGTTGTAACGTATTTAGAATCTTTTAAATGACTAGCCATATTCATAACGGCAAAGATGGAATTATACAGAATAAGAACTAATGGTCAACATTCATTATATACCATTTCATTGTGATCTTCTCTTGAAAGTGAGCTACTTTGCCTCTTAATTTTCATAGAGGCTGCCTCATAAACTTATATTTTATAGTAAAACAAAATAAAACTCTTGAATCATTGAATATTTTTGAAAAGTGATTTAAGATTGATTTATATAAATTGACGTACTGCTTTTATAACCAGGCAGAAATTTATACATTAGTATGCTTAATATTTTTGAAGTGAAAATGATAGAACTGCACATTCCAGGCATTCCCATGACCTTGATTTCTTCCCAAAACCGTAGACGACCAGAGGAGTCGCTATGTGACCTGTTGCACCAGTACAAATTAATATATTTTTCCAAAAAGTAGTTTCCACTAAGAAACAATGATTTCTTAAGCTGTGGAGATTATCTACAATTTCATCAAATTCCTGATGTTAATAGTGCAACAAATATCTGAATGAAATGACAATGTCCTTGTTAAAATCATAAATTCATGAATCATGATTCAATTGGACTATGTTAAGATTAATAATTTGTCTCTAAGCTTTGCTGAATGAAAGATATTAGCCTCTCAAAAATATTCTAGAATGTCCCAAGCCTTGAGTTTTAGCACAGTGGACTTGATGCACTTCCTCGTGATAATGTTTTACTTGAAGTCGCCTTGTGAATCCAACAGAGAGCCTGCAGGAAAAAGGCTAATTTACAAACAAAAGTGGGGCCAGCATTGTGACATTCAGGATTCAACTGCCATTTGTGATGCAGACATCCAACATTAAGTTTCTGCTGCTCCCATTGTGACCCAGTCTACGGCTAGTACACCCAGGAAAGCAGGAAATGATGGCACAGGTTCTTGCGTTTTGGTCTTGACATCTATGTGGGAGACCAAGATGAAATTACTGGCTCTTCACTCCAGGCTTCACCCTGCCTCATTCCTGCTTGCGGTGGCCATTTCAGGAATGAACTCCACATGCTTGATACCATTCTGTCTCTCTTTTCCTTTCTCCATCTCTCTGCTTTCCGTATAAATATTTTTTTTAAAAAATAAAGCTATAAATTTCTTCTTCCTATCTTACACATTCTAAGCATTTGTTTCCCTCTAAATATTACAACACCTGTATTTTTCAAAACTGTGAAAATATATATGTATTTTTAAAATGTGTTTAGATAAACGTTAAATTCAAGCTCTGTTGATTACAACTCACTGGGTATCACATTATTTGGACAGTGAATATCATTAAGCCAATATCACCATTTAATTTTGCACAAATTTCATTGCGTTACTTCTGGAAAGCTACAACTCAAGGTTCAACTAAAAGTCCTGATGGCAGGATCAGTCAGTGTGTGTGTGTGTTACCTAAGTTTGTTTTGGAACATGGTTCAGAAATATGACTGCACATGAATCACCTAAGGAGGTTTAGAATACCCACATTAAATGTAAGGCTCAACGCATCAGAGTTTCTGCTTGCATTGACCTAACAGAAAAACTTTCCAGGTAACTGCTACTTGGAAAACCAACAGGTGATATGGATAAAATGAAAAGAAGCAAAAATGTGATACAGTAACAATAGATTTCCAAGAGAGAAGATGGTATGCTTATCAGCATATTTTTCTGTCTCCAAGAATTAAATTTAGCAAGTCAGAATGGGCTCAGGTAATGCTGGAGTTCCTCTTATTCTCCTAAAATATTCTTTCCATTCTAAATGGTTACTTCACAATTTTCTCTCGATATATGTTGTGACTCATCAATTTTTTAAAAATATACTTTTGTGAATAACACAACCAAAGCAAACATGTGGAGGTACATCCATTCTTTTAGTTCATTATCTCTAATAAGTAAAAACCATGACATTACATCAGGATCCTCGGAAAACGTAAAACGTCATCAGCCATACATTGATGATAAGTCTATGGTGTACTGCTGGGGGGGGGGGGGAAGAATGCTGAAATTTGAGAATAAAAAGCAGAATCAACAATGACCTCCTGTACACACTGGCTTGTTCTAGATTCGTAAACAAGGAATGGTATTCAAGTCAATAAAGGGAGTCTGTATAAAACACTGTGCTGAATAAAAGGTGAATCAGCTGTGGTTGGTGTTCTGTGAAATCTAGCGAAGGCTAATTCCGAAGTAGTCCTAACTAATCATAAGGTCAAAATATGCTGTTAGTGCAGAAGATAGGTGGACGCCACTTCGGGGGCAAAGGAAAACTGTTGTAGCTTTGAGGTGGTGATGGAGAGATACTGAGAGACTGAAACCATACCAGTAGAATTCCAGTAGAACTAGTAAAAGAACTGTGTGGCATCCCCAGCATTTTCTAGAATGTTCAGGAGAAACGCATACATCCTGAACAACTGATTTCAGAGAGGCGAGAATGTCCATTTGTGTTTGCTGACAGCCCAAGCCACTCAAGCAGAGGCACAGGTGATAAGAGTAAGAAGAAAATAGCCTTGCCCACCTTGGAGAGAGTCAAGGCTGTTTGATCAGCTTCACATGCAAGCCTCCAAAGTAGCCACATTGCCAACGGATTCCAGTTTTAATGGAAACAATGTTGGCCCCATTAACACCTGGCCTTAACTAGTCATTTGATTGAGCTAACATGTCTCTAGTCTGCAATGAGACCAGACTGCTACTCATTCCCAATGATGTGGACTTTATGTTAAGGAATAAGCTTCTAGAAAATTCTCTCCCTGGAAACTGGGGGGCTCTCATTCTGTTCTTCCTCAGTCCAACAACCGGATCCTTTTGAATTTACCTGCTTGGGTTATCTGGCTACTCAATTCAATATCTGGATCACATGTTTCATCAATCTATTTCTGATTTTACTAAATTATTCCTTTTGTTACCTTCCAAGAATTGTATTCTGATAGAGAAGGATTTTTATCTGCAGAGAGGATTTCAGGATTCTTTATCCTGATTACCTACCAGATACCCTGGAGACTAGGGAAGGAAAAAAAAAAAACTCACTGTATAAAAGGTAATTAGCACATTCTCTCCTTTTTTTTATAACTTTATAATTGAAATCTCATTAAGAGCTTTCCAGGTCTCCTTTTCCCCAAGTGACCAGGTGTCCCTAATTTGTTTTCAACCCATGTGACTAATTCCAGGCCAAAAAAAAAAAAAAGAGAAAAAACTAGAAAAAAGTATGATACCTGCTGGAGAATAGCAAGGTTAAATAAGTGGGATGGCTTTTTAAGGCTGCTTTTGACCTCCTAAAAGAAAGGGGAGTGGGGGAGGCTTCAACGTCTTTTCTCTGACAGTCCTGCCTTTTTCTCAGTCCCGGCTGAAGATTCCAAGGGAAATGAGAGCACTATTTTGTTTCTCCCTTGTATTGCAGATAGGGGGAGGAGGTGGTTATTAGAGAGAAGCTCTTCCTCTCTCGGTTTCCCCCTCTCTCCGCCTGACAGCACCGCTCTCTCTCGCGCGCGGGCTCGCTCCTTCTCCTAGGTGATCCATTTCTAGGCAACGTGGGGCTGGTGCTGAAGCTGCCAGGCTCGCTCGCCGCCTTCCTGCATCCCGCCAGGCGAACCGCGCTCCACAAGCATCCTGCAGCCCGCGGCTGCTTCCCTCCGCCGGCCTGGCCCCGGCTGCTCGCGCCCGGCGCAACTCCCCCGCCACCGCGCCCCAGTGAACCGGCTCCCCGGCCCGCCTCGCCGCGCTCCGCCTCGCGCAGAAACGGAATTTTCTCTGCATTACTATCTGCATTACCTTGAAGTTCACTTTTTCTACCCCTCTTGGAGAGGGCTTCCCCCCTCCCTCCCTCCCCCGCTGGAATCTGGCTGCTCCGTTCGGAATCTCCTAATCTCTCCTTGGCACTTATTTGGCAGCGAAGACAAGTGATTCTCTGCGGGCCCCGGGGGCGGGGGGTGGGGTGGGGGGCCTCGTGGCGGGGGGAGGGGGCGGGGAGGGGGCACATCCGGCGTGGGAGGGCGGGGGGGACTGTTGGAAGTTGCGGCGGAGCGGAGACCCGAGACCCGCGGCCCCGCGCAGCCATGGGGATGGTGTGAGCTCCGGCCGCTCCCCCTGCGCGAGAGCAGCCGAAGCTGGATACGTTTTTTACAAAGCCAAACTGCAAACAACTCTGGCGATGCCAAAATTCCCCTCCAAGTGACACGGCTTTGCGAAGGAGGCTTCTTCAGGCTGGGCGCTTTCCTTTCCACCACCCCTCGAGCCTTCCCCACCGAGGAGCAAAAGGCTTCTGCTGTGTGGCATTAGGAATTTAAGAGGAGGGGGTTAAAAAAAAAAAGAACAAAATTGAAGAGCTAGGGGGGAAAAAAAAGCTGCGCGCAACTCTAGTGACCTCAAACTCTTTGGACTGGGTTTCATTACAAATACTAACAATACCAACACTGGAAGACCACCCGTTCTCCAAGGGAATTGCCGTAAGAGGAGATGGAAGTTTTCCCTTTGCTCTTGGTTTTGTCGCTCTGGGGGTCTCGAACCTGGCACTCGGCGACTGCGGATTCGATCATTCACATCGGTAAGAAAAGGGCTGGCGCCGCTCGCCCACGCTCGCAGCGCTTCGGCTCGCGTCCCTGGCGGCGTGGCCGGCCCGAGGCGGCTCCGTGCGGCGCCCCTGCCCCGCACCGGCTCGGGGCTCGGCCGGGAGGTGCGGCGCTGGCCTCGCGGGGGGCTGCATGCTGCGGGGGGCGGGGGTCCGGAGTTTACCTCACGGCGCGTGCAGGGGAGTGCGGGGGACTCGAAGTGTGTGTGTGGAAAGGGAAGTTTAATCGACTCTACCTTCCATATTTTTTTTCCCGGATGTACATTTGCTCCATTCGAAAGAGAGAGCGAGCGCTGAGGGGGGAGGTTGGCGGGGAAGGTGTCACCTGTGAGGCGAAAGGCGCCGCGGCCGTGTGGGAGGCAGGGGGCGGGGGAGAAGCTCCCTCCGGCTCGAACAGGTGGTTTGGCAACGTGAGGCGGCCGAGTCCGCCGCAGCCGAGCGCCCCGGCGTCGGGGAGGCCGCCCCGGCGCCCCCTCACCTCGGCGCCCGTCGGCGTCTCGGGCCGGCGCTGCGGTTCTCGCGCCCAGACGGTGGCGGGAGGGGCTGGCGGCGGCGGCGTGGCCCAGGACCGGGAGCCGCGCGCCTCGCCGCCTCGCCGCCTCGCCCGCGCGCGCGACCCCCGGGCGTTCGGGAACGGCGGGCCGCCCGCCCGCACGCGCGCAGGCCGCGCTCTCCCGGCCGCCGGGGCTCGCCGGCTCCGCGGTGCCGCCCGGGCTCCGGCGTGGCGCGGGGGAAGGACGGCCGAGCCCTCTCGGAGGAGCTGCCGGTTCGTGGCCCCACCTATTGGCAGAGCCCACTCGGGCCGGGGCTGGCCGCGGCGGGGGCGGGTGGGGGCTGCGCGTCATTATCATGCACGGCGCTCGCAGCTCCGGGCTCCAACTCTTCTCACTTGCTAATGTGCCAGAGCTGAGCGCAGCCCGGCTCTCGCAGACCTTGGTCCTTGCATGCGATGATTTCCTCGTCGGAAATTCTCGTCCCCTGGGCTATCCACGGTTGGCCTTGCTGGGTTGCAGAGAAGCCCCTGTTGGGGGATTTTTTTTTTTTTCTGGGCACAAGGACTTTCGTTTGTCCACAGCGCTTGGTGTCCTGTAAATCTAAGCGACAGATGGGTCACAGCTTCTCCCCTGTTCGTCCCCTGCCCCTCCGCTGCGCAGCAACACACACACACACACACACGGGCACACACAGGCACACACAGTCACACGCTCCTGGTAGGGGAACCTGCTGCAGGTGGCGGATGTGCCCTCCAAGTGGGGGCTCGTGTCTGGTGTGCTGCCCACAGCGGTCAGCTCCGCTCCATGGGGCTCCCTGTCTTGGTCTCAGAGGCTCTTTGTCAACATGTCTGCCATCTCTATCATTCATATCAGTAGAACTGGATGTGACTTCGTGCAAGGGGTAATGAGGTCAGGATTCAGAAAATCTCGCACTTGTGCATTAAGTAAATTACACGCTAGATGGTGGCTTGGCTGCTGGATCCCGGCTTGCGTGGTGGCTGCCGGTGCTTGTGGGGTGAGAACTTTTCAGGGAAAAATGATGGTCTCATTGTGGGGTTCAGCAGTGTTCTGATAGAGTTCAGACATGAACTATGCTTCTCTTAAATAAATGACATACGTCTGTGTCCTGCTGTAAACGACCAGTGGGAATGCAGATATGGAATCCTCATACCTCTGTGTTCATTTTATGATGAGGATTTTCTGATTTAGCCTCTTCTCCTCCCGCAGGAGTGGAGGCTCTTGGATAAATGTGTATTTAACTGCTTCTTCTGTGGTTTACAGGATACATACATTAATTTCACACACCTACTGCTCTTGCTACCCTTTAGCAGTGCAATACTATTTTTGCAATGCAGTCTGGGCATTTGCTTCTAAATAAAAAACAGCTGTTGTAGTTTTTTTCCCCCCTCCTTCCCATACTGTTGTTAGTGTGACATGGTTTTTTAAAATAACTGTACAAATTAGTTTTTCTTAAGAAAGCTGCTTGTATGCATTAACTATGTATATCCTAGCAGTTACTTCTCAGACAATGAATTTAACTCGGATGCAATTTGTGTATTCTTTGAAAAAGCATCTTATAGATTGCCTAATTGGAACATAAAAGTGGCAAATTTCTTGCTTAAAAAGCCTCATGCCTTTTACTATCATACTAAAAATGATTACACTTAAATTAAAAAGAGCACCTGATTTTTGAGTATTTTAGGGGTTAAAAGCCCCTCTTTGTGTCCATCCCTTCACCTCGCGGCCAAACTATGATAGATTTTTTTAAAAAATGCATGTCCCTATTAAAATGGCAAAACAGTAGTTCACGTACGTTGGATCACTTTGCTGGCTGGGTTGAAACGAGTTTTTTTTTTTTATTTCTTTTGAGGCGATTGCTTTCATTTCAGTACTTAATGTGAGAAATATGCTTATAGGAGAGTGTGTCAGTTCAGGACAAAAGGGATGAACCTGCGGAAACTGGGGGATTTCAAATCTACAGATAGAAGATGTGCAGAAATAAAGGCTTTCCCAGACTCACGTGATGAGTGGAAGCAGAAAGTATCTGCAGTAGGTAGTTCAGGCAAACTGGGAAGATAAAAAGGCACTGCTCTAATGGGTTCTTTAAATATTGAATCCTTTTGATATTGAAACCGATTATATGTATGAAAAATTTCTCCGAATTTTTACTTCATGTAGATAGTATAATAAAGGCATTTACATATTTTAAACTCATGTTTTATTAAATAGATTAGTTTTCTACAGTGATAGGATATGTGATAATGATTAACCCATTGTAGAAATGAGAACGTGTTTCAGTCAGATGTACAGTATCACCACAGTGTTGATTTTCTGTTAAATCACAGTGAAGTATTTGATGGTGTCATCAGCGTGCTCAATGCGTAGGCATACAGGCACGCAAACAGAATGTCTAGGAATGGATAACCTTTACTGTGATCTTTGCCCCAACAGATCTTCTGACATACAGAAAGTGTGCACTTTGGAATCATGCTTCCACTTTGAGCCTGTGCATTGATTAATTTCATCAGACCCACATTACTTGATTGCTTCGGAGTTTCCTAACGATCTGCATGCTCTAGGAAGAACCAGAAAGTCGTGAATGGCATGGCAATGCTGCTGTGTTTTATGAGGCTATTCAGAAGTCGCTCTGATTTATGTAGCTCGAAAGCTCCAAAGTCTTTGAGATTAGCTACGCTGACTGCTGTTTTCTTCATACATCAGTCGTCCCACACTCTACTCCCTAAACACAACAGGAGTTTAGAGCACTGCTTTAATTAAGCAGGGATTAGGTGGCATTTCCAGTCAACTGCACAGTTTGTGTTTTAGTTCGTATCTAATATAGAAGATCTCATGTTTTAACAGTTTAATACAGGCTTATTTCCTTGTCTGGCTCCTGTGTTCACTCACAGAACTGATTGTAAATTAGTTGTCCCCAGTTATGTAGCTCTACAAGAGCACACTCCAGGACTGTACTTACTCATACTATACACATGTCACTAGCACATTTTTGGTTCTGTTCAGTCATAGTAAAATGCCTCATGTCAATAGGGTAGTAAAAAGCATTGACTCATGAGTTTCCCCTAAGCAAGTGATCCTTCTCCTCTGAGTTCATACTCGACAATGACCTTAACGTTGAGGCTCCTAAGACAATGCGGAGTGTTTTCATCCTGAATATGTTCTAAGCACAACAATGAAAGAATAAATGTGTTATTATATTCCAGACAGTAATCACAGATCATTGTAATGCATCAGGGTTTTTTGTTTGTTTTTTTTTTGTTTGTTTTTTTGGTTGTTGTTTTGTTTTTTTGTTTTGCGGTGCTGAGTACTGTTTTAGCCCAGAGGAATATGAAACCATTCCTGGGAGAGGTAGTGTGTCTTTGACAAACGTTTCTTTTTCAGCCCTTTAATGCGAGAGCTTCTGGGACTCAACCAAAGACTGCCTTTCTTAACATGCCGCAACTTTTTTTTTTCTTTACCATTTTGTTACTAACAGTAATTTCCAATAATTGATACATGAACCTCTAGAAAGTTGTAAGGCACATACTTTTGTTATTATTTTCTGTGTCATTGATGTAGATATTTGAGGCATAATTAAGGTGTGCATTAAGTTAGACAATGTTATAGTAATCAAGGATATCAACTCTGACATGACCAATAAAGCATTGCCCTAAGGACCTTTGCTTTCTGTTTCATGGGAAATGTGCCAGCACGAAGTGCCAAGCATCACTTTTCCTTCACATGTGGATAAAATTGAGAGGATTTACTTCTGAGTTACCCAAAAATGAAAATCAGCTGAAATCTATGGTGCAAAGGAAGATCCCAGGGTTCTGATTCCAAGTCTGATCTGATCATACTGTGATCTCAAAGGGATAGTCCATTTTAAGACCATGCTTTTGAATCCAGTGTTCTTTTTTCGTTTACCTGCGTGTATCAGTATTTTTCAAAGTCAGGTGTTCATATTTCTATTGGGTCATCATATCATAGCGTTCAAGGCATGTTGGTGAGTGGCACTATATATGTACCTCTTACCAGAAAATACATTTATGGCCTCTCAAGATATCTTTGCCATTAGGTGTCACTACATCCTGAGATGTTTGTTCATTTTTAGTCCTTATTGTTAACCCCCTGATTTTTTGTTTTCAATTCTCAGAGCTTTGAAAGAAAACCCATACATGTATATGTAGGTATGGCTGAAAACAATGGAAACCTGGGATTTTGTGGGTGATCACCTGTTTTCAAACAATGATGAAGTTTTAGTGAGGTGTCAAGCCTCTGCAGACTCACAACCATGGGGTTGTTGGCCATGTGAAACAAATTTTGTTCTCGTTTGGTGATTCCTGTGTTACTTATTTTGGAAAAGCAGTCTTGCTTCTAGCACATATCATGTTAGGAATAATGAAGGGTGAAATGCAGGTTGGATTTCAGTCTGATAAGTTACTGTGAGTGTTGGTAAGGTCATGTAATTAGTGCAATCCTAGATTA